AACCTTGACAGAACCTGGCTGAAGAACCCGGCTACAGAACCTGGCGACCGAACCTGGCTGGAGAACCTAAACCGAACCTGGCTGGAGAACCTAGCAAGAGAACATGGCTACAGAACCTGGCTGGAGAACCTGGAGAACCTAGCAAGAGAACATGGACACAGAACCTGGCTGGAGATCCAAACCAGAACTTCGCTGGAGATCCAGACCAGAACTTGGCTGGAGATCCTGGCTAGAGATCCTGGCTAGGCTGCTGATCAACTGAACACTGTCTCCGTGTCATTCCTTCTTCGCCGACTCCGTCTACACCTTTGGGAACTCCTGGAACTGCTGGGGTTGAACCCCAGCACATATTGTCAGACTATTCGTGTGACCCAAGGTCCCCAAGCAAAAAAAGAGCACTCTTATCAGATATAACATTACAAAGGTTACTTAGAGATTACTTCCCAAAACCCAAGGGCAAAGGTCAGACCCATTTTTGGGTTTTTTTGGACCAGGTTAAATTCTACATATCTATCATGGCCTTGTCATTTCAAGGCTCTACTGGGGATAATCCACTTCCCAAACTCACTCAAGTGGTTGTCAGCAGAATTCAGTTCCTCTGGACTCTTGGACTGAGGGCGACAGTTCCTCTCTGGCTGTTGGCCAGTCTGCCCTCAGTTTTTGCCACTTGGTTTTCTCTAAAATGGCAATTTATTTCTCAAAGTGAACAAGTGAAGAAGGCAAGTGAGAGTGCTAACAAGATGGAACTCACAGTATTTTGCAACCTAATCATGGAAGTGATAAGCCATCACCTTTTTCTTTATTCTATTCATTAGTAGTAAGTCATTAGGGTTTTAACCCACACTCAAGAAGAGGTTTCACAAGGGCATGAATACAAAGTGGCAAAATGATTGGGAACCATGTTAGAAGCTGCCAACCACAGTAAGCTTAGGGAACGAAGACAGGAGATAGGGGGAGGTTCATGGTAAAAATAAGAGGGGTAATCAATGAATCAATTTACCGGAGGTAGATGGATATGTAATGAGAACACATGCAGGAGAGGAAGATGCTAAACATACCAAAAAAAGAATGAGGATTAATAATAGAATTTTCTTAGGTTCAGTGTAGTTGTTGAAGTTACATACAGTGTATCATATTACATTGTTAATTACCCATACCCTGAACAGCTGCATGAAAATTCCTTTTACTATATAGGAATGGTGCTCCTTCTCAACTAACTCAACCTCACCATTGTTACTGAAGTCGTTATTTGAGTCATGATATCTGTGCAGGGAGTACTATTTGGAACATTAGGATTTCATTATCTGTTGCTCAAAATCAGTGTAATAAAATAATGTGGGTTAAAAGAAAGTTAACTGAAGGAATTGTATATACATTTGCAATAGATATCTCATAGATACAACCTAATATTTTCAATATTGGGGCTAAAAATCATAAGTGAGTTTAACTATCTCAGTGTATCCTCAATGATGTCCAATTATATAAAAAGATAATTAGAATTGGATTTATTATTGGTCAGATTTTACTAAAATGCTGAATCCAATTCTGGGTTTATGAGCAATTACTCTAAAGAGGTAAAGTGATCATTGGTTTCATTTACGGTAAGAAGAAATAGTCTTAAACCTTAAATAAGATCTCAATTAAAATGACAATAAAGTTCCTGAAATTGAGGATTTCAATCTTTGGGTTATATTATATTTAGTTGAGTTTATAAAAAATTTCCCTACTCAAAGCATGACATTCATATTAAATTGTTTCATTTTCAGCCTGATAAGATAATACTAGATTATCAAAAAGATGGTTTGTGAATACATTTTAAAAAATCTTTATTGTTGAAAGTATTAACTAAGTCCCCCTTTTAACCCTATGACTTCTTCTAGCCTGGCCCTGCCCCTACCCCTACCCCAGGCTTTCACCACCCTATTGTCTTTTTCTTGGGTTATGCACATAGACATGGAAGTTCTTTGATTGAATACATTTTTTTTAAGTCAGAATGGGTTCACCAATATTAGAGCATTCAAATTCAATCCTATGTTCTGCCCTCCTGAATTCAGTTGGAGAAAATCACAAAGCTATGCTAACTGAACTCTTAATACATATTGTTTTGAAAATCACAAGTCTCAAATAGTCATTCAACAGTCCCAAACATTCCTACTACACTTTCCTAGTAAGTCCACTTTTCTACTTGCCAATATGACACATCTTTTCTCTCCTCAAATCTCTAACAATCACTCTTTCTTCTCATTTCCAGTTGATTTATCATAGAGAAATAGGTGAAATAAAACAAAAACTACCTCAACTTCCAACCACTCAGTTCACCAACTTAAATTATCTTTATCTACATAATTTTCACTCTTCCTGTTACTGAAAACTTGTCCTTGATCCTATTAAAGGGTAATATATTATCTGTGCAGTGTATAGACTTCCCTCTTGTTCTAAGACCTGCAGTCCTGCAATCACTCGCCTTCTCTTCAGTATCATCATTGTGCTTTGTAATTTATTTATATACTAGAGTCCAGGTGCACAAAATTTGTGCATGGGAAGAGGGGTCCCCTGAGCCCAGCCTGCACCCTCTCCAATTTGGGACCCCTCAGGGGATGTCCAACATCCCTCTCACAATCCTGGACCACTGGCTCCTAA